GCTTAACCTACAAGAAGTTCTTTGCAGATGTGTATTTTGTTGCATTTATCTTGATGCAAACATCTTGCATAAGTAGCAATATTTCTACATGCATACTCATGTAGATGTGTTAAAATTAAGCTACGGTTCTTTTTAGGGCCTTTATCTTGTAATATATGTTAGTCTCAAGCTTGTCAGGTTTTTATGTCAAATCTTTCAAGAGCAGACTAGATATAAGCGGATCAATTTGTGTGGCATTTTCTTTCAACAGGATTTCTGATGTTCAAGCATCTTATCTGGAAGAAGGGAGACTTTCACTTCCATCAATAACTCCCCCAAGTAGCCAGTCTGACTCTGAGCCAGTGGGGAAGCTTGCTCTCAACCTTCAGGATGATTGGTAAGTAAGAGTACTATTTTACTCTCTTAGAGAAGATTCAAATATTAATTTTAACTAATTATGTGGTGTAATTGTATATCAAGGACTGAATTGTTTTCTGTAAGAAAATAACTTGGCTCCAGTTGCTTCATTATGTTTTTATCTGTTTTCCAATACAACTTTTCTGAGGTTTTTCTTTTTATACAAAATTTGTATTGCTGAAATCTAAAAATCTAGGAAATAAGCTTGCATTTAAAACTACCATACTGGAAGGGATAGTGATGCTTTGAGAGTTTATTTCTAGTTTGGTGGCCCTGAGCAGTTTTGCCGTGGAATTAAAAAATAAAATCTGATAATTAATCTCATTTTGCTATTTGTGGTAACTTCAGATGTTGTTCTTGCTTAGGCAGCATTTCCTCTGTTAATTGAAATATTCGTATGAGCTAACTAGTTTTAGTATTGCCAAAAAACCCTATGGCAATTTTTTCCCCTGCTTTTCTGGACTGCTCATGTGAAGTACTTGTGAAGGTCTTAAAGTGATTCTTAACCAGGGTGACAAAACATTCTGATCTATTGTAGTCTTAGTGTTTTTGCAACAGAAGAATTGTTCTATTTTTCTGTAGTCAAAACAAGTGAAAATTAAGAACTGGCATTTTCCACAGGGTGCCTTGAGTCTGAGTTTGAGGTCCACTGTCTTAAATAGTCTGCAGTGGAATAAACAGTTGTCTTCAGAGAACATAAAATTAAGTCATAACATGTAAACTTTTCTAGTTCAGAAAAAAATTGTGGGAGAACTAATTTTGATTGTAACACTTTTGCCGGTTTTGAAATTAAGGAGGTATTAGAAAACGTAACTCACAGATTCCTGTTTAACAGTAGTAAATTTTGCTGATAATTTTGGTTTGGAGTTGTTAAAATGCAGAACCACCAGAAACCAACCTTGTTTGGTTACTATTTGCTGACAGACTGTGAAGCCCTCAGTAATGGTTAAGACTTACAAAGCAGAGATGCGTATGAAAAATAAAATATTCTCTTTAAAAGTATTGCACCTAAATGGAGTTTCTAAGAATTTACAGGTAAATGCCGGTGAAGAAATAAAACCTAAAATGGACCTTTTCGGAAATGTAGTGCCCTCCTTCAGCTCATTTGCAAATTATTTTAGTAAGAATAACTTGTGAAAAAGTTTCTCCTTCAGCGGAAAGCTTAACATTCTAATATTATAAAAGCTTCAATCTGTCCATCTGTCCATCCATAATGCTTTATTCACGGTCTTATTGGCTTAAGAACAGCCAATCAGGGCATAAAGAAGCGTTCGGATGGGTGGCAGGGCTCCATCGTGATGGTGGGGACACAGGACTGAGTGCAGGAAGCAGCAGCAACAGAGCGGATGGCATGTAGGGGTGAGGCCACCAGTGCTGGCTTTGCCACCCCCTGCCCTGCTCCCTGCAGGGGGTGGGGGGTGGGGAGGGAGGCCACTAGAGCAGGCTTCCCCCCCCTGCTCCTTGGAGGTAATGGCAGAGGTGCAGAGGGGAGCAGGGTCAGGATGCCATGGGGGAGGGGGCAAGGCCCCCGGCACTGGCCTTGGCCCACCCCTCCCCCCTCCCATCATCTCCACCTGCAGGGCCCACGTAGGCTCACCTGGCAGCAGTGGGGGGGGGGAGTGGGCCTGACGTAGGGCAGGGGAGGGAGTGGGTGCACCATGACGGGGGCAAGGGTAGGAGTGGACCCAGGTCTGGTGTGGGGAGGAGCAGGGGGGAGGAGGAGTGAGTCTGAGCAGTGGCAGAAGGTGGCCCGCTGCGGCAGTCGGAAGGGAGCAGGGGGCCCAACCTGGCCCGACACAGCGGCGGCAGGGGGAGGGAAGGAGCAAACCACCTCCTCCTCTCTTTGAGCCTGGACCCACACCCCCAACTTCTCTTGTCTCCCCACTGCTCCTCCTACACCCCCATCCCCACCGCCCCCCGTGGCTAGGCTTCTCCCCACCCTCTGGCCCAGTCCTCCCCTGCATTGGGCCCAGGTCCGCTCCTCCCCTCTCCCCACTGCTGCGGCACAGAGGAGGGGAGCGGGTCAGGACCCCAAGCAGTAGGAGGGAAGAGGGGAGTGGGCCTGGATGGAGGGGGCGGGGGCGCAAGGCTCCATCCCTGCCTGCTCCCCTCCTGTCATTCAGACAATTGGCTAGTTGTATTATAATGACACTGTGAAAAATCATAGGTTTATCATTAAAATCTTTTACTCTGTGAGAATTTAGATAATACTGAATTAATTTTTTCAGGTAACTAGGTGACTCTAATTTTTTCACTTGTGGAGTCATGATACGGAAATAATCCTTACTTTGAAGGAATCAGCCTGTAAAACAGAAAAAATACACCTATGTATTAGGGATGTAAGTGTTGTTTAAATAATTACCCATTTAAATCCCTCTAATCATATCAGTTAAATGCTTGACTAATAACACATACCTAGCGCCCATGTGTTGCAGCTAGTCTTTGTTCCCTCCTGGGGCACTGCTGCTTCCCTTTCCTGCTGGCATTAAATGTTAACTGTAATGCATTAACAGTATAAATACACTTACTGTTTAACTGTTTAACCTACTATGTATGTGACTGGAGTGAGTTTTAAGAATATGGGAAGTTTGAAGAATCTGGTGGGATGGAGTCAATATGGCTTAGATGCTCCGGCATGCTGCTGTTTCCCTTAAGTTTTTACATTCACTGTTCATTTCTTCTTAGTGTGTGTGTACGTGCGGCTTTCATAAATGACACATTAGATACACAAGTAGTATAACTTGAACTGTACTACTTGAACTGAAGATTCATTTTTAAAATGATACAGGGCCTGTTGTGAAAGATTGAACTTGGTTTATATTGGTTTGTGTCCTTTATTTCTGAATTCAAGTGATATGTCAGATTAAAACCAAATGTCAGCACATATAAGCATAGGTTTAAATAGTTTTAAAACATCTTCTTCTGTTAAATTTGGTACAACTTCTTTGCCAGCAGAGTCATGCATCCTTACTAGTTTTCAGATTTCTTGTAAACATAGTACCCATTCATTGTCTATGAAGTACTTTTAAGATAGGGGTTTCTGTACGCTTGCAAACAGTGTCTAATTCTTCATCAGCATGGTCAGTGAATGCTAGTAATGACTTGGTGTACATGGGTGTTAGGTATACTTATCTCGCCTTTTGATCTTGCTTAGAATCAAGTTAGCTGACACAGTAGTAAAAATAGTTTAATAGTTTCGTAGTTTGTAGGTTCGGAAGGGACCTGAGCAGATCATCAAGTCTGACCCCCTGCCATGGCAGGAAAAAGTACTGGGGTCAAACAGCCCCAGCAAGGTGTTTGTCTAGCCTTGTCTTAAAGACCCCCAAGGTAGGAGCCAGCACCACTTTGCTTGGAAGTTGGTTCCAGATCCTAGCCGCCCTGACAGTGAAGTAGCGCCTCCTGATGTCTAATCTGAATCTACCCTCTGCGAGCTTGTGACCGTTATTTCTAGTCAGTCCTGGTAGTGCTTGGGGGAACAGGGACTCCCCCAGTCCCTGCTTGTCCCCTCTGACTAGTTTGTAACAGGCCACTAGATCCCCCCCTCAGCCTTGTCTTGTAGAGGCTGAACAGGTTCAGGTCCCTGAGCCTCTCCTCATAGGGCCTGCCCTGCTGCCCCCTGATCATGCAAGTGGCCCTCCTCTGGACCCTCTCCATGTTGTTCACATCCCACTTGAAGTGTGGCGCCCAGAACTGGAC